CACAGTGGTTGCTTGAGTCTCATATTCCCTGGCAACTGAACTAAGGCTCTCCAGTCGAGTCCTTTGGCATAGGTTTCAGATAGCCTGGCCATGGCAGGTCACTGACCACATTCCCTCTTTCTTGAGTACCAGGTGGACAGCTTAGCAGCCCAAGGAGGCATTAGATAGCAGGAGTTTATTTTTATACAGCTCTGCTGGCAAGGGGGAGATGTCATGTCTGTAGGAAAGATCAAAAGACGTCCCAAGTCTGGTGTCAGCTGCTGCTTGTGATCTTAGCACCAAGATCTTTTCCCTCATGGCATATCAAAGACAGCAGGAGAATTTGACTGTTTTGCTTTTTTTTTTTTAATTGTGTGATATATATATCTATATCTATATCATGTGTGTGTATACGTGTGTGTGTGTGTGTAAAGGGTTTCTAAAAATAAAGTTCTTTGCTTCTGTTCCCATGGGAAGATTTGAGGGTCTGGGGCAGTGAAAGCAATTGCTAGACATTTCTAAGGTAGGCACGAGGGTTGTTGAAGGAAAATGAAGATCATGCTGCAACAGGTGATGGAAGAATGCAAAGTCTGAAAGGGCAACACAACCCCAGAGCTAAGCAGTATCCATCCCAAAGTGGAAGGTGCAGAAAGGGATAGGGGGAGGGAAAACTAGGGTAAACTTAGGACATCGTATCCATGGAAGTACAGGAGTGCAGAGAACTAAATCCTGTTGGCAGCAAAGTGGTGCTCCGAAGCGGACTGTTCTGCTCCTCAGGTCTGCCTCCTAAACTGAAAGCTGCAAGGCACAGATAATTTGCCATGGGGCTTTGAGTCAGTAACCTCCAGATTCTGTGGACACGTTGTTCCAGATCCTAGCAGGTTTGCCTCAGCCCTTAGAGCAGCAGTTCCCAACCTTTTCAGACTCAAGGCACCTCTCATTAGATCCAAGGCCCTCCTCAGAAAATGCCAGCTTTTACTCTTACTTTCATAGATTCATAGATGCTAGGGTCAGAAGGGACCTCAATAGATCATCGAGTCCGACCCCCTGCATAGGCAGGAAAGAG